AGCGAGCTTTCCGTCTGTTATTGTTATTGTTTGTGAAGTTGACGGTAATTTTGAAGTTAGTTTGTTCCTGTTCCGTATTTAAAGCGATACCGAGTGGAACAAAAGTTGTAAGCCGAAGAAAGAGTTTGATACCCGGCCATCCACGGTACAATATCTCCTAGAAATTTCCGAAGAACATTTTTTCAATATTTTTCTGGTACTCCCCAAGTGAGCCTCTATCACCCCGTAAAAGGAATGACGCGAATTTTGAATCACCCTGTGTATGTACAACAACGTGTAGCAAGGGTCTTAACAATAATTGATCACAATTTGTTGCAGAACTAGTCACGATGGACGACCGTGCCAGCAATTCGATACCCCGCTACCAGCACGTGCCAGTTGTGGGGTGCCGCGACCGGTCCGAAACCTACCTCACCTTAGCCTTTGAAGTAGCCCTAATAGGGCTGGGCCAGCAGCGCATGATGCCCGTAGGGCTCTACGCGCAGGAAAAAGCCTGCAAGCAGGAAGATCGCTTGATTGCCCGCCTACAGGAAATCGAGCTGGACAACAGCCTAGTGGCGGTGCTGCGCCGCCAAGCCATCATTCTGTTGGAGGGCGGGCCTTCGAGCGGCCTGGGCATCGGCATCCATCCCGAGTCTATTCCCATGCACACTTTCGCCAGGTTCCTGTTCCTGTCGCTTCTGAACTACTATCCAGACCTGGCCTACGAAGTGGGCCTGAGAGCGATGCGTCTGCCGCTGCTGGAGGAAGGGGATGGGGATGGCGGCCTCCCGGGGGGCTCCAGCGGGGCCGGTTCTCCAGCAGCCAGCCGGCCCCCACGCTGGTTCACTTTGGGGCATATTGAGAGTCAGCAGTGCGCCCTCAGCAGCACCATGCTGAGCGCCGCCAAAGGTATGGAATTGCTTTACGTTACGTGTAGGGTTTTTTGGGGTTTGTAGCTTAATGATTAATAAGAACCTAAAATGAGATTAGATTCCTAAGGGCATGTTTATTTAGTACTTAGGGTGGGTTGTATGTGTTAAGGATGTTCGTTCTATAGCGCTATGATTTTTTTTGTAGGCTTTTGTACAAGCTTCAAACATTGATTTAAATCAGGAATTTTGATATTACCGTTATGCTTTTTGTGTGTACAAATTCGATAAGTATCGCTCTAATTTTTTAAGCTTGCTCGGCCTGTTGTTTTTTTTCTCTAGTGTATTCATCATTTTAACATAATATTAGTGTGAGTTCATTGCACAATTTTCATGTCTACCTTATACACCCTCCAATTGTTAAAGTTTGGAAATGCATAACGGATTATTTGCCTTACTTAATGATCCTATTTTGAGACATGCAAAATGGAACATTTCTCATCTAGAATCTCCATAAATTTAGCTAAACTTCTAATTGAATAATAAAGTAAAGATTGTCAAATCCTTTATCATTCGATATCTCGTAGAAATCATTAAAACTCTAAATTCAATTGACACTCAATTTATTAGATGTAGGTACCTGTCGATAACGTTATTTTAACATAGATGAGTTTTTCTTTCGCATATATGTGACTGCACGAATGATTGTCGCGACACATCTCTTCATCATGATTGATAGAATGCCAGAAAGATTAAATACATTCACAGTACAATCAGAAAAAAAACATAAAGTGCTCTCAATCCTTTTAAAGTCAGTGTCCAACTACATATATGTAGAAGTTTACGCTATACGGCACGGAAGTTTGCGGCTAAACCGTTTGAATTTGAAAAAGTATTATTTTATTAATTGTCCGACGCCTACCGAGCGCACATTTTAAAAATATTTTTGTACGGTACAGGTTGTCCCAAAAGCTCTAAAGGTATCAGAGTTGCGTTTTTTTGGAATTTCCTCCAGAGGAATGACGCCAATCTTGAATCACCCTGTATATTACGGCATCTCTCCCTATATAAAGATAGACCTAAACGCCAAATTTATATTTTTGCCTTTGTCTTAGGCGTCTTAATGACTCGTCACTTAGACGTCTTTCTCACTCGTCAATTAGACTCCTTTATGTCTCGTCATTTAGAGGTTATCAAGCTGTCTATCTTATCAGTCCATGGACCAATATAGGACCCGCATAAAATCTTTGATAATATGGAGGTAATTAAAAAACCTGACAATCACACCCTATAAAATTGTTAAAAACTCCAATTTAAAACAACTCCCGATCGAAAATTCAGCTCTAATCCTTTACCCACTACAAACCAAGAATTGTAAACGTGAAATTGTAAAATCCAATAGGGAAAATTAAATACTTTTGCATTTTAGAAACACAGTTTCAAATTAAAAAGTTGGCAATCACACCCTACTGAATTGTGAAAAATTCCGATTTTTTTAAATTTCCTGACAGAAGCTACCAAAAATATTTAACCCTAAACAGGTCTAGAAAAGTGAAAGTAAAATTGTAAAATGCAATCGATAAAATTGATTACATTTGCATTTTAGGAACAGAAGTTTTAAATTAAAAACTTGGCAAT